AGGCAAGTCGCGTCCAACCTCCAGCATCGAAAACAAGGTCAGGCTGCAAATGTGGCGCTCTCTGGGGCATGAGTGGCGCAGTCTGTCCCGCGGGAAGTTAGCTTCGATATTTGGCGGTTTCCAAAAACCCTGAACCCAAACATGTAGTCACCTCCTGGGAGGTCGACTTTGGCTTCAGCCTGCTTCCGCCGAGCTTCCGCCGGCGGAGCCGCCGCCGTTGTACTTCCGCCGCTGTTCGCCGCCCTTCCGCCGCCTGGCGCCGCGGAAGGGACGGCAACTCCCTCGATCTTAGAAGACAAGGCCCTTTGTGGAACGCCCCATATGCCCATCTGGCATTCCAACTCATGTGTTCCTCCTCCTCCTCCTCCTCCTCCTCCTCCTCCTCCTCCTCCGCCTCACTTCCCCATGTCGTCCTGCGCCGCCTCGCCCGCGGGCTCGGCCCTCGGCTTCAGCTCGCCGCCCAAAGTCCTCGCCTTCTGGTGCAACTCGTCCGCGAGGTCGGCCATCTCGGACGCGTTTTTGGGATCGACCTCGTCGATAAGATCCGCAACCCGATCCAAGTTCCTCTCCTCCTCGCCCTTGGGCTTGGCATCCCCAAGATCGCTCTCCTCCCGGCGCACGTCCTTCTCCAATTCCTGGGACGCCTTGGCGGCCTCGGCCATCCAATTCTTCATCGCTTCCACCACCTTGGCATCCGTATCAGAAATGTCCTGGCTCGCCTGGCGGGCGGCCTTACGCTTTGGCCGCCTCTGGACCTGGGCCAGTTTGTCAGCGAGGTCAGCCATCTCAGACGCATTCTTGGGGTCGACCTCGTCGATGAGATCCGCGACCCTCTCCAGGGTCTTCTCCTCCTCGCCCTTGCCCTTGGCGTCACCGAGGTCGCTCTCCTCGTGGCGCGCCTCCCTCTCCAAGTCCTGGGAAGCCTTGTTGGCCTCGGCGATCCAAACCTTCATCGCCTCCACAATCGTGGAGCCCGCCTCTGACATGTCCTGGCTCGCCTGGCGCTTGCGCTTTGGCCACCTCTGGACCTGGGCCAGTTTGTCAGCGAGGTCAGCCATCTCAGACGCGTTCTTGGGGTCGACCTCGTCGATGAGATCCGCGACCCTCTCCAGGGTCTTCTCCTCCTCGCCCTTGGCCTTGGCGTCCCCGAGGTCGCTCTCCTCGTGGCGCGCCTCCCTCTCCAAGTCATCGGAAGCCTTGACGGCCTCGGACATCCAACTCCTCATGGCCTCCACCATCTTTGAGTCCGCATCGCTAACTGACGTGATGTGGTGCGACTTGCGAGCAGCCTTGCGCTTTGGCCACCTCTGGACCTGGGCCAGTTTGTCAGCGAGGTCAGCCATCTCAGACGCGTTCTTGGGGTCGACCTCGTCGATGAGATCCGCGACCCTCTCCAGGGTCTTCTCCTCCTCGCCCTTGCCCTTGGCGTCCCCGAGGTCGCTCTCCTCGTGGCGCGCCTCCCTCTCCAACTCGTGGGAAGCCTTGCTGGCCTCGGCCATCCACGTCTTGATGGCCTCCACCACTTTTGAATCGGCCTCCGACATGTCCTGGCTCGCCTGGCGGGCGGCCTTGCGCTTTGGCCACCTCTGGACCTGGGCCAGTTTGTCAGCGAGGTCAGCCATCTCAGACGCGTTCTTGGGGTCGACCTCGTCGATGAGATCCGCGACCCTCTCCAGGTTCTGCTCCTCCTGAAGGGGGAGTGACAGAGACAGCCCGCCCCAGCCATGAACTCGCCTGTCGTCGGCGGCGGGAGGAAAGGGGGGGCTCGCCCTGGGCTGGCGCCGCGTCCGCGCCCTGGCGCTGCGGCCGCGGTGGCGGCGGCGGCGGCGACAGCCGCGCTGACGGCTGCGGCGGCGGCGGCGGCGCTGGCGGCGCTCCCTGGGAGGAGGAGGATTTTGACATCGACAAAGCAGCCACATACACCTTGCCTGGTGGCGAGCCAGGCAAGGGACGCTCCTTGGCGTAAAACCTCCACATATTCACCAGCGATGTCCTGGCGCCTGGAAGGCTTTCTGAAAGAGAAAACCAAACAGGGGGGGGGCGAAAGCCGAGGGGCGATTTCCAACAGACAGGAGGATCGCCGTCGGCTAACGGCCCCCCCCCATTAATTAGTCCGAGTCCGAGGAAGCCAAACAGGGTTCCTGCGGAGCTGCAGAGGCGGCCGCCTCTTGGAGGCTGGACGCGGAAACGACACCGCAACGAAAAGCACTTTCTGGCGAATCGGGCGGCACGTTGCAGGCCTCTGGGAGGAGGAGGAGGAGGAGGAGGAGGAGGAGGAGGAGGAGGAGGAGGAGGAGGAGGAAGAAGAGGCGGAGGAAGAGGAGGCGGAAGGGGAGGAGGAGGAGGAGGAGGAGGAGGAGGAGGAGGAGGAGGCGGAGGAGGAGGAAGGGGAAGAAAGAGGGGGACTGTGACACCGCTCCCAGTAGCCCGCACTTCCCACAAATGTTCAGCACCGCTGTGGGACATGGCCTCCGAAAAAAGGCCTCCCTCGGCTCGGCCCGGCCGCCGCGGGAGGGCCGCCGGCGCCCGGGGAGGAGCGGCGCCGCGGCCCGCCCTTGCAGGGCGAGGACAGCCCCGCTCTCGCCTCCTCCGTGGATCGAGGATCGAAGGTCGAGGATCGAGGACAGCCCCGCGCGCCCCTCCAGGATGGAGGGTCGAGGATGGAGGATCGCGGATGGAGGATCGCGGATGGAGGACCGAGGATGGTAGAGGAAGGATGGAGGATCGAGGATCGAGGATCGAGACCGGAGGATCGAGGATGGAGGATCGAGGATGGAGGATGGAGGTTGGAGGATCGAGGACCGATGGCCCTGGACCCCCCGGTGGAGGCGGCCTCCCACGGGGGGGCGAAGAGGCTCGGCCTCGAAAATTCGATGGTGAGCCTGCTCGTTTTCGGCCTCCGGGGGCCGTGTTCGGGTCCAGGGGCCCTTCAAAGTCGATGCGGGTGAAAGATTTGGGCCGACGTCGGTCACCCTGTGAGGAGGAGGAGGAGGAAGGAGGAGGAGGAGGAGGAGGAGGAGGAGGAGGAGGAGGAGGAGGAGGAGGAGGGAGAGAGGAGGAGGAGCAGGAGGGAGGAGGGAGGAGGAGAAGGAGGAGGAGGAGAAGGAGGACGAGGAGGAGGAGGAGGAGGAGGAATGAGGAGTTCTACACCAGTACCAGGCAAACGTGCGAGTGCCGAGCGGCTCGGCACGCCCGCTCGCGCAGCGCCCGCGCGGGCCGTGGGTCCCCCCTCGGCCTGGCAGACTGAAGGCTGCTGCCAGGGCCTCGGGGACCCAGCCCGCCTTCGGGGTCGCGGGCCCACCTGGCCCCACCCTCACTCGGGGCCCCCTCTGGCGTGCCTCCCCGAGCCCCGAGTGAGGGCCCTCTCTCCTCTCGCCTCGCGGGCTCTGCTCGGCAGCCTGCCCTGCGCCTGCTGATGCTGGACTCACCTGAGTCGGCCTCACCCACCAGGCACTGGCAGTTCTGAAATGCTGCGGCTGCCTGGCGCTCAGAGCCCTATGAGCAGCCTGATCGAGGGCTGAGCTCGCTCCTCTGCTCTGCGCTCCGCCAGCGTGCACCCTCGCTTTGGCGCTGTCTCGCCTGGGCACACGCTGGGCCTGGTGGTGGGCGCGGCCTTCTCCTCCTCTGGGCGTGCCGCCTGCTGGGCCATGCTCGCTCCTGCTGGGCGGCTGGCGGCCCAATGCATTGGCGCTGCGCGCTCCTGGTGGACGGCTGGCTGCCCTTGCCCTGGCTGGGCGCGGCCCCCTCCTGCTGGGCAGCTGGTTGTCCTGCGCTGTGTCGCCGGTCGCTCCTGCTGGGCTGCTGCCACCCTCTTTGGCGCTTCTTCACCGTTGCTGTCGCTGGTCTGGGCTGCCTCGCTCTGGACTCTCAGGACCGCCTCAGCCTCCTGGTCGCGCCCGGCTGCTTCTGCAGGATCTCTGCTGGCCGTGCATGGCCTCGCTAGGCCAATGTTGAGCCATGCCACGCGGCAGATCTCCTACGGGACCCTGCGCTGGCTCTGCTGTCTGGTTTGGCCTGGCTAGTCGCTGACGAGACTGCAGCAGGCCCTTGTCTGCAGGGCCCGGAGGACTCCACGCGCAACATGGCTGCGCCCTAACTCAAGCCATGCGGCAGGGACATCACGCGGGCCACGAGTCCCCTTCGCGCGCCGTGCGCGATGCGCCAGATGTCCTCGCAGAGATCCTGGATCCGCTGGAGCGCCTGCGCCTTGAAGTCTGGCCCTCCACGATGACTCTGCCGCCCGCATTGGTGATCGCTTGGAGATACGGCACACAGGATTCCAACCAATCGCCCATGCCATCCCAGACTTCCTGGCCGACCATGATGATCCACTGCTCAGCGTGGCTCTCCAGGTGGTCGATCAGCCTTCTGCTTGGCTGGGCTGCTGGCTGGGGCTGTGGGTCGGGCGCCCGCTGGGGCGCGGGTTGGGTCCCGCTTGTTTCCTCTGGTGATCGCCCAGGTCGGTCACCTCTGAGCTGCTGGGTCACAGTGCTCCGAAAGTGCTGGCTGGCGTCGCCTCCGGTTGCCTGGCTGCCTCGTCATGGCCGTCGTCCATGTACGAACTTGACTCCGCACACTGGGCGCTGCCCCTGTCGCGTGCGCTCGATAACTCTCCGACCGGAGGCTGTTGGCGCACGGCACTCCTTCAGAAGCTTAAGCGCCATGCCTGCCACTGCCCCGCTGCTGCGACCACCCAGGTAGCCCGTTGCTCCACAAGCTCCGCACCAGAGCCAGCCCTGCAGGTGCTGCGTCGCGCACGTCTCATGAACGATGCTGGCGCCGATCTTGACTGCCTGGACGCCCGTGCGCCCGTTGCCGCGCTTGTCCGCGCGCTGGCCGACGCGCCGGATGCACTCCCCAATCCCTGCCAACCACGCCTTGATGCCTTGCCCTTTGTCTGGGCCGCTGCTGCATCGCACGCGCCACTGTCTGGGACGCAGCTTCCGTAGATCAGAGAGAGCGTGATCCACCGCCGCTTTACTGTGGAAAATTGCCCCTCT